TCACTTGTAAGAGCAAAATTCAATCCTCTTTCCACTAAAAGTACTACACTATCTTCCAGAGTTGTACTGGATAAATTGATTAATTTATCCCTACCCACTTTGCTACAACCATGGTTAGTAACACTTACCTTAGGCGAAAAGTTTTTCGACCTATTTCTTCTTCCTAAATTCCGGAGCTTCTTATCATGTATCCGACGCGTAGTTCTGCCAGTCGCCTCTCCTTCCTTGGGTGGTTAAACGGTCAAGATCATAGACTGAGAGGTTAGGACAAGTGGTTTCGTAACATGATTTACATGCTTACAAGCTCATATCTTATTAGCCCCATCGTGCTTGCTTACGGACTTGCGTAGTCTCGGTCAGGGCTTTCTTTAAGCTCATTAGGCCTTGATGATCAGAGCCAAACTTTAACCTTTTGATAACTCTGATTTAGGCCCGGTAGTGCGTATAGACGCTAACACACACACACACACACACACACACATACATTCGAGCAAAAGTAGCAGGACAAGTATGAAAGATAATTCGCCTAAGCATTCTATATCTATCTAGATTTTTTGATTTATTTTTCATGATTGAGTCTATGAAAGAGGTAAGATAGAGCCGGGTAGTCTTCGTGACCTGGTGCTGTTAAAATCAGTTTCAACAAGAATGAGTTCCAGCCCTGATGATGCCCATCATTTGATGGACTAAAGCTCAGTCAGTTTTCACCAGAAACGAGGGAGGAGGTCTCGTGGACTGCGTCAACCTGAACGTCGTATGAAAACCAAACGTCCACAGTACAACGCGATTCATCCGAATTTCTTCTTTATGACAGTCTCTCCAACAATGTTATGTCAGGAGATTCATCAAAGCCCAGTTTCTCTTCGGATCTAAGGACTGATACTTTAGTTTTTCCCACAATCAGGTGACTAGACCCTACGCTTTCACTGAAGTTCACACAGTCTTGCCAATGAGAATAAACTTTAGCGAGGTAAGGCTATGCGAAATTCAGTGAAAGCGTAAGGTCAACTACCATTTCCCCAATCATCTTAAACCAAATGAGGTGACAACATCTCAAGTATATGATCTATTGGTATTCTCAAAGAGCCTCGTATCAACGAAAAATGTGCATGTTCACTTTGCCGGTTACCTGTACCTGCCTCATCTTCACGATCCTTCCTTTTGTGGACTCCAGCACGGACAGGCTCTGCTGCGCAACTACCGGTCGGCGCTGGCTCGAGTCTCCGGCGTCCTGACGCGTGGAGCGTCCCGCAAAAGCCTTAGCAACAGCACCCTCCTCACGGGCCGAGACACCATCGCCTCGTCCGAGAGCCGATCTCCCGCCGACCTCCGCCGGCTGGATCCGGTTCGCGACTCGTGACCGACTTCGACCGCCCACTCCTTGCTCGAATCGAGCCCGAGGTGACACGCCAACATTCCACACTCACTCGCCCAGTTTCCGTCACAGTCCACCGCAACTTGGCCGGTGCCAAAAATGATACTCTCTCGCTGCCTCCTCCCATCCGCCATCGGCCTTTGTCCCCAATCAGCTCGCTTCATCCGCGCGAACGGTGGCCACACCGTGGTCACCTTCAATTGCTTTTTATTCGTCGCCTCAGCACCCACGAGCCGATTCTAGCGGCCCGTTGATGCAGATGCAGTTGCCAAGTCCGGCCGCAATCAACCTGTACAGCAAATCGCACCAACAGACAGGCACGCAGATCAGTTGAGCATGTTTAAGGCGAGAATTGTGCGCTTATTTTATTCTATCATTACAACATTACGTCAAATCAGATGCCGTCGAGACCATTGACCATCAGCCTATTTTTTATACCGGCCCGACAAACGCCCAGCGACTTGCCCAAACCCTCTTGTGATTCAGCTAACGCTGCCTTATTGCACTCCTCCATACACAGCTACAATATTTGATTTAACGCACACACACACAAACACCTATCTAGAAATCTATCTGCTTAGATGAGTACGCACAGTCAATAAATAAATAAATAAATATATATATATATATATATATATATATTTGCTACACGTATTTGTGCCCGCTTAATCCTATTTATTTCGACGCCGGAATCGGACATTCCTTTCTCCATCGAATTGTTGCCATTGCTTGAAGGAACATGTCCAACCCGGCTAAGAACGTGCATGCATGGACAGATTCAGTATTATATACATTTATGTATGTGTGCATGTACATATGTACATCTATGCAAGTCTGCATTTAGCAGTCATTTAAAGCAAAGACAAAGTCTCTTTTTAATTGATACTTTGAAGGATGAGTGCAACCGTTCTGCTTTTTGCGCCGGGTTGATCGGTTTCTGGCCGTTGCCAGCCGTGGGCTGAGGCTCGGAGTGGGAATAGTCGGAGGACTCTGTCAAGG